TTTTTAACAAAACATAACAAAGAAGGCCCAAAAGTCGCGTAGTTAATCACCGGGTAATGAAGGACAGTTACTGGGACACCACACCCACCTCACAGACCCCGATAAGCTAGCATTGGAAGAATCTACATTTTGAATCTGAAGCGGACAATGCTGTTTTTAGATGTTTAGATCAGTGTTTTTCTATGCAAATTGTGCGTTTCAAGGGCAATTAATGTTTTGTTGAGCAACTAATTTATTTATACAATTGTGTTTGTACGAGGCAAAGTATTAATCAAATAGTGAAACATTTTCTTGGTTCTATGCGAATTTAGCTACTAGAGTAATTATTAAGCAAAGAGCCCAATTTGACTCAAGTGAATACTATTTAAAGGAGCATACTCAACCAAGATACGAAATAAACACCATTTTCAACCAAAAAATGGCAAAGTGTGCGTTTAAAGTGCAAATACTGTATTTATACAATTGTGGTTTGTACTAGGCAAAGTATGCTCTCTGAAAAGTCCACTGAAATTCCTTATGTTTACATATTCATGAATCGTTTTTCTTTTTGAAATAATCATTTTATGCGAATTTAGCTACTAGAGTGATTTTTTAAGCAATAGCCCAATTTAACCCAAGTGAATACCATTTAAAGGACCATACTCAACCAAAATACGAAAGAAGCACCATATTCAACCAAAATATGGCAAAGTGTGGTTTAAAGGGCAAATAGTGCTTTGTTGAGCAACTAATGCATTGAAACAGTTGTGTTTATACCAGGCAAAGTATTATTGAAGTACTATCTGCAAAGTCAAATGAAACACCTTCTGTTTACATATTCATGAAACAATTTTTTTGAAGTATTCATTCTATGCGAATTTAACTACTAGAGGAATTCTTAAGCAAATAGCCCAATTTGACTCAAGTGAATACTATTTAAAGGACCATACTCAACCAAATACGAAATAAACATTTGCGGAAATGGAAACGGTTCTACCTACATAACAATGAGGCAAAGATTGCTGAAGTATTCACTAAAGACCACTTATATACTATGTCTGGAAAGCACAATTTGCATGAGCAAGCTTAAAGATGCACAATAATGGAAATAGAAGCGGTTCTACTTACATAACGATGAAACAAAGATGTCTGAAGTATTCAATAAAGACCACATATATACTATGCTGGAAAAACGCAACTTGCACAATCATGCTTAAAAAATGCACAAGAATCCTAGAAAAGTACTTAGTGAAGGCCATACACAAGCAAATTCACAAATACATAAAGACATCCAAAAGCGCAAGCTTTTCAGGAGAATCTCTGGTAAAGTTTGGATTATAGGGTTTTGGGGTATTCCTGGACGAGAAGGAGTCACTTTTTAAGCAAACAATTCTAAGCAATAAATGCTTTTTCTCAAGACAAGTATTGCAAATGCTGCTTCTAGATAATTAATCGCATTTACCAGGCAAATATTATCCATGCGAATTGAGCTACCAGAGCACCAAGTAATGGCTGAATAAGGCCTACTACACTTGAGTACAACCAAAAGATGCACTAAACACTAGCGGCTCTACTTACATAATAACGAAACAAATAGTTCTGAAGCACTCGAAAGAAAGACCACTTGTATACTATTTCTGAAAAGCACAATTAGCATAAGAGCACACTTAAAAATGCGTAGTTGTTGCCTCGTGACCGTGAAGGCGAACCAAAAAGCCAAAATACCAAAACCAAAAAACCAAAAAAACCAAAACCAAAAAAACCAAAAAAACCAAAACCAAAAAAACCAAAAACACCAAAAAAACCAATTTTCCGGGACTCTCAGGAAATCCCTATGAGGCTTCTCCAAGAGTCCCGGAAAATTGGTTTTTTTGGTATTTTTGGTTTTTTTGGTTTTGGTTTTTTTGTTTTTTTTGGTTTTGGTTATTTTGGTTTTTTTGGTTTTGGTTTTTTTGTTTTTTTTGGTTTTGGTATTTTTGGTTTTTCTACTGTCCCGTGTATGCGATTTTAGTTGTTTAAGTGTCTACGCCCTGGGAAATACGCTATATTGCACACCGAGTTTGCTTGCAGTGCAGCTGGGTGACTTGAGACAAGGCGAAAAAGGGTAGGTCACTGGGGGGGGGGGGTACCATATATATATATATACATATATTAGGCTTGGGAGGAGGCTTCTCTAAGCTGTGGCAGCAGCTCCGGCAGCGGCGTCCTGGGCCTGCAGCGGCACCGGGTTTGCAGAAGAGGACGCAGGCGGCATGGTAGCTTCCTTGCAGAGTGCTTCTGCAAAAGAGAACAACAACCCGAAGAGGCAAGACCTTGCAAGGAAAACGTACACGGCCAAACTTGAAAGCTGTGATGATGTCAAAGACATGTAAAGCAATCGCTGAGGACAACTATGTTCAGCGTGCGGACAGCAGCATTCGTCGGGAAGAACTCTTGTCACCTGTCAATAGGGCCCAAAGTTCTCTGCGTAGCGAAAAACTTGAGAACAGACGGGAGGCAAGAATCGGCCTCGTGCAGACTGTGTTCCTTGCGCCAAGAGATGGAACCGACTGTTGACCTGCAGGGGCAGAAGTCTTGAATCAGGGCGCACTTCGGCAACTGCTTCCAAGTGGAACCCTGTTTCAATGATTTCTGGCGCCTTAGTTTGGATGGCTCCTCGCTGGCAACTGGCGCATGAGCTGCTGTACGCAATGCCACAAGGAAGAAACTGCGCAGCACAGCTTGTCAAAGATTTTCCAGTCACCAACAACGACCAGTTAGTCATCTTAGGTAGGCTTCTACTACAACTGACCATCGTTTATGCACAAGCAACGCAGCTAGCTGAAGCCTTAAGGTTCAGTGCTCTAGGCCCCCCACTAGCTAGTTCTCAGAACCCTCTCTAGCTCTCAAGCACTTGGGCTCCAGCTCCCTGGATGGTGACGCGCTGGAAAAGGAACCTGGCGATAAGCATGTCTTCATCTTCACGTCTTATAAAGATCCGAGCGCTGCACTGCGAGCAAAACACTGACGCAAAATCTGCAACAGATTTCGCAATGACACAGTTGACATAATGTGGCCCTCGGGTCTCATATTTCCTTACGGGCAGTTGCTACATGTCCATGTCCATTGAGCGGCTGGGAACATAGAGCCTCATACGTAGTTATGGAAGTATGCCCTGCCGCGTGCAACTTCAGACATGAAGCATCTGCCAAGCAACGCTTAGAAGTTCGCATTTTTTAATTTGGGGTCTCTCGCCGCCTACGCAGGCCCCCCCCCCCCCCCCCCCCCCCCCCTCACAATACACTCGGCACAGCAAACAACTCATCCTACCGCAATGCTTTGCGCAACGCCTCATCCACACCCCGCATGCATTACACCCAGCGCCACGAACAAGGATTTCCACCGCCATGTGTTCAAGCCCCCCCCCCCCCCCGCCCACGTGCTCTTAGCAGCAAGGTTTCTACAAGTGGTTTTGGGGGAAGCAACACCATCCAGGCTGCTTCGGAGGAGTCTCGATATTTCGGGTTTCAAGTTCCAAGCAGGACTTCTCCACGTTCTGGCCTGAAGCAAAAACCGCTGAGTTCTGTTTGGTGGTTGTTGGAACCTTTCGCCTTCTTTGTTTACGTAAATTTCGCCCCTTCTTGCTTGTTTGAAGGATGCTTGTCTGGAAAAACCGACGTGGTTACCTGTTCACTTGGCCCCCCTCCATGCCCCCCCCCATTGCCCCCCCCCCCCCCCCCCCCCCCCCCCAATACTCTTCGCTGTCAGTTCCCTAATTCTTGAAACAAGCCATGACAAACCTCTGAGAAAAGATAGCATTTAAGGCTTTGGTGCATGGATGTGCATGTGCCCTGGGGAGCAAAGGCGAGCACGGCGATTTTGTGTGAAGGCGGCGATGTTGCACCAACGAGCTCGGAACGTACCTCGGGCCTCGTCCTCCGTGCTCGGCGTGATCAGCCCGGTTCCTTCAGGCCTAGGGTGAGCGGGAAAGGTGCTAGACTCGACCGTCTTGTGCATACGGTTGGTGGTATGCGGCATGGTTCGACTCTGATTGCTGTAGGACTTGGGGCTGAGTGCCGCAGAACCAAATCCAAAAGTAAATCCAAAGCACGCATCCACAGTCTCAACAGCATCCTCAGTTGCAGACCGTATTCATGCTGGAGGCTGTACAGTTAGATGCCGTTTCGGGCGCTGCAGAGGCCCAGCAGCGGTCCCGACGCTCCTGAGCGCTTAGCCCGAAATGATGCCCCTACAGTAGCACACATCCCCAAGCATCTGGCGCAGCACGTCAACTCCCCGGGCGCCTCTCAACCCCGAAGCAAGACAAAACACCTTCGCCCGACATCGTGACCAGGGGCGATGGCTGCATCATCGGCGCCGGCTCATGCCGAGTTCGGCGGCGCTGGCCGTGCCGGCGACGCGGCAGCCAAGCTGCTTCCTGAGCTGCAAGGTGCACAAAGTCTCACCCACTCTACACTGATACACATGCGCCTCGCACGTCAGAATTGCTAGGTGACTGTATGCAGTTGAGGTGCGACGGGGCGATTCGGCCACAGCTGCGCACTCGGCATAGGACCGAAGACTGTGTTGCGATTTTACAGGTGCACGCATATAACCGGCTGGTTTGGTGCTTCGATAAGTCATGCGGGTGGGAATTTGAAGTCGAACCGTGGTCTTTCCAAGCAGCTCCTGGCCAGAGCACACGAACCAAAGGTACAGCAATTTGAGCCTGTTCGAAGGTACACCGGAGGTTTAACAGCTGCAATCTCATGGGAAGCGCAGCACCTCGGCAACAGAAACCAACACAAACACAAGTCTCCCTTAATTCTTGAGGGGTCCTTCCTGCATTGCTGATGTTGGCAACGCTCAGTCGCCTTCAAGCCCTATAAACCATTGACCCGCGGTCGCTTTCCGCATGTGCTGCCAGGCCAGGCAGAACGTGGCTTGGCCAGGTATGGGCCCGCTGGCAAGAGCACTGCGCAGTCGAAGTATCATGCAGCGGTTCGGTCAAACAGGATTGGAGCGCAAACTTTTCCGCGGCGCTACACGAAGTCCGCGAGCCGCTGGCGTCGCGCACCTGAGCCCAGAGGTGCCAAGTTCTGAAAAAATTTCTAAAGCAGCACACGGAAGCGCAAACGCTGCAACAGCCCGGCCCAAGTTTTTTGCGCCAAGGAACGTTTCTGCAGGTTCACGAAGATGAAATCCAGGTGCATCTGCCTCACCGAGGTAAGCATACAAAGGTATGATCGGTTGCTCTCGGTTGAAAATTCCATGCTCGTGGGTTTGATCCTGAAGTGTTTTTCACAAAAGGTGCGATAACACTTGACACATCCGCCCTCTGAGGAACTCTGAGGGCCGCAGCCTTTGATTCCAATCTTCGAGACAGCTGCCTTGGCATCAGTGAAAACTTTCCTTGCTGAGGTGCTGCACTACATGAATCTCGGAAAAAACTCCAAGCCATCCGAGACATCCGTGATTGGTGACGGGCTCTTGTTTTATCATGTGACAACACAAGATGTAGACGGCACAATCAGAAGAAGACCAAACACCGACAAATGAAGAGTGGCGCACGCGAATGGTACGACAGGCTGGCAGAACCATAAAGATCAGGCCGCGACCTTCGTCCTCAGAAGCCTGACCGAGATGGCGCATCATGCTTCTGGGGGGTTTCATGCTGCATGGCATTAGGCTTCTGCTTGGGATCGTGGCGTCATTCATTCTCTGTAGAAACATGTTATGTAGGTGTGGACAATCTGAAGATCAATTTGGGTTCCCGGAGTATCGTGGCTGCTTGAGAGCTCTGTTGGGAGCTTCAGAGGTCTTTGAATCTGAAGGTTGCCTCAGGGTTTGATGAGGCGAGGGAGGGGTACGATAGCCCTAAATCGGTGGCAACTCCAGATGCCGCACGCCACTTTAGACAGCCCTTTCAATGCCCAGCTGATTGAGAACCCTACCAAAACTTCAGACCAAAAGACCGTTCCGAGGCCTTGGCAGCAGCGGCTGCCTCGCTGGCAAGCCGTGCTGCGATCTCCTGGACGGTACACTGTTGGGAATTCGCCTCTGGCTTATTACATGCCAGCTTCACTGCAGTATGTGCTGCAAGCTGGGGAGAATCCTGCCGCAGCGTAGCACGCTAAACCATTCTTTTCCCGTGCAATTATGTTTCGCAGGGAGAGCCTTGGCGGCTTGGACTTCTTCAGCTTGAGCAGAATCGCCGGCCTCTGTCGCATGCACTTCCTCCGTCCCTCCACGAAAAGCCCAAACGCCAAGCTCAAAGCTCTAGCTGCATGCTCCTGGGCCCCCTGGAACTCGCGCTGAGCTCAAGAAACTTTGAAAGGAACCAGCCTGACTTCTGCGAATATAATCATGCATATGCAAAACCCGCAATCAACCCTACAGGTTCAAGCCCTGAATCTTAAAATCCTCACCGCATCAAGAGCGCATGCAAGTCTCATCTCGGAACCCCCAAATCGCCTCCCGGAACCCGAAAGACAGGCCCCACATGGCCATAAATCGGCCCCAAGCCCTATAGAAACCCGTGGCTTCTGAGCCCGGTGGCCTCGGCCTCATCCGTTGCCGAGTCTAGGGTTAAGGGTTTGGGGTAATCTCCCTGTAAGGGGGTCTACTCGCTCACGCTCGAACAATTTTGGCGAGGTGCAACCCACACACACACACCATGGCTTTGGCGTTTAGTTGGCAAGGCTTATTTGCCTATATTGCATAAGACCCATAGCATCAGACCTGTTTCGTCCCGAAGAACTGCTTACTTGACATTGACTAGGTCCGTCTCATTCGCGAATGCCTGGAAGCATGAGTCTTTCTCCGAAGGACTGACTCGGAAAGCTCATCGAAACACACTGCCGAGCTGAGGGCTTCTTTCAGAAGAACGCGGTCGAGCAAGTCAGCCGAAACCACCTTTTCAGTTGGGAAAGTTCTCGGCCGTCCCGGGGAACGCATTGCAAGAGTTGAGACCTAGGTGAAAATATCGACATTATACAGGCGACGCTAAGGCATATGAGTTGACAACAGATATCGTCAAGCACTCGCAGCCTGGTGATGGTCATATTGACCCCAGAACAAACCTCCTCAACAGCCAAACCCGAGAAACCAGCCTCTTGAGCAAGTGCGGAAGGATCCGGCACCTTGCCGTTGTCTGAGAAGTCTGGAGGTTTGGGTTTTTGGACTGAGAAGTTGCGCTTGCCGCTGGCTAAGCTTGGAAGAGCTGAGGAGACATATGCTACCATGACGACGAGCCAGTGCAAGGACACTACGGGTAGAGTCAAGAACGAGGGACCCTGCGTGGCTGAAAGCAGCGGAAGACGTGACTGTGGCCATCTGTTTCTGTGAGCGCATGGACCAATTGCCCTTTATGACAAGCACCGGGCCCAAAAAGCCATCCCACTATCTGACCTAACAACACGCAACCTCATAGCAGTCCCATGAAGTCCCATGCAGCTTTCCCCCTTCGCCCGAAAGTGGGGCAACGACCAGAGAGACGGTGAAGGAGCGCAAAAGGGGTCAACAGCAGTTTGTGATGTTGAAGGTTTATATGGTGTGGGGAATCAATCTTGAAGTGCAAGGAGGCAAATGTCTCACTTCAGGGGCATTGAACTTTTTGTGGCACTTTGGGCTGTGGATTGTGGCAAGTGGGAGTTGTGTTGGGCACAGCCACATGAGTCTGGTTGGCTCCCTAAACCCTAAACCCTACACCCTAAGCAGGATCCCGAAGCTCCGGGCACCAGCCGGCGGGACCCCGGCAGAATGATCCGACGCCTCGGAGTTGCGCAACCATGTGCAGGGCCCCTAGGTTTAGGGTTTAGGGTCAAAACCTATCAAGGCTCCTAGGGTGCTGAGGCGGCTCTTTCTGCAAAATATAGGGCTGCCTGTATTGCCTTAGAAGGGATGTTCTGGAAAAGTCTTGATCATTGTTTCTAGGGGTTGTATAGAGAATAATGCCCAGATAGCATTCGTTTTATGCTAAAGCAAGAGCAGGTGACGTCTGGGCAAACACTGGATCAAATCGGCATGCATTGGTAGGCATCTGTGTAGATACGGATCTGCGTGTGGATAAATGTAGTGGGGGGGACATCAAATCACATGCAATCACTGGGTTGAGGCAACGATTCACGTGAAGAGGACCAGCCTGAGGCTTGAAGGACTGTTAAAGCGAGAGAGAACACCCTCTGATGCGGGGACGGATATGGCCCTCCAATCGCACTGCGCCCACGCACGCCCCAGGGGAAAGGCTTGCAGACCAAGGGTTGACTGCAGAGCTCTCCTACTCCCAAGACATGCCCGTGGACCACTGAGAGCCCAGCCAGCCATGGTTGAAGCAAAGGTTGCACCGAACACGCTGAAGGCTACAGGTACATGCACTTGCTCCCCAAGCCCTGGTCCCCAGAGGCCTGAGCTTTGGGAACCTCATCCCCCTAGATGCCAAAGACCGATGATTCTACTAGTACATTCTTGCAGAGGTCTTGTGGTTCTTATGGATCACAAGGCGTCAAGAGCTGCACAGAAGTACTGGGATGCCCACTGCGTGAACTGCACCGACTGCCGCTCTGACGCTGAAAGCCTCGACCGCTTTGACAGTTTGGGGTCTCGGGCGGTTTCTGGCACAGCGAGCGATTCTGGAGGTGTCTGCACGCACGGAAGCTCGCAGCTACGCACGAGGAACTGACCTCCTGACTCCAGACCGCGAAGGCACATGTCGTGTTGCGCAACTACTTCTGTGTACTCCCACACCGGCCCAGAAGCTCTGAGCTGCAGCACCCACGGCTGCCACTCATCACCATCACACCACTCTGCCGTCACTGTTAGAAGCCGCCAAGCAACTCTTTGAAGCTCGGCAGGAGGTCCGGGTAGTGGTCCTGATATCGATATCTCAAACAGTCCGGACTTGAGGGAAGAAGCCAGATGATATACGAATATATATATATATATATACAAGCCATCCCATCCATCCCCATCTCCCCTGTCCATAATGTAGCACAGAGCATGGTCGTGATCGCCAATCACGTTGCCTGCCGCGTAGCCTGGAAAGCAGGCAGCCCAGGCTCTGCCCCGTAAACCCTCCCCAGAGGCTCTTCGTAGAATCGGGGGTGTGAGGGTGTGGGGGGGGGGGGGGGTAAGGATGGCTATCGGGCTTCCCACCCTTCCCTCTCCATGTGCAGTAAGCACGGGGCCATGGTAACCGTCGTGTTGCGGCTGCACCTTGGAGGAGAGGGGGAGTGGGCAGGGCCTCCCACATTGAAGGTCTTCGGCCCCGTACTCAGAGAGAGCTGCACAGTTGCTGTCACAAGCTTGCCTGCAACAAGTGATTCTCTTAAGATCTCTTCAGCCATGATCTGTGGATCCTGAAGCTCAGGACTGGCCACAGGGCGTTGGTCTGCGTTGGCTTTGAAGCATGGTCTTAAGAGCCCCGAAAGGAAGGCTCATGGCCCCGAGGCTCTGTCCGTGGGCAACAAGTTCTCCATCTTCATGCTGTCATGGAAGGCTGTCAATGCCTGGGCTCGTTCCATGAGAATACCAGCCCATCGAAGTTTCTGAAAGAGTTAAGTGTTCGAGGACAGATTCCGGGCCTATCAGCACCCCGAGAATTTCCGCAACTCCTTCACACCCATAGACTTCGCACAAGGTTCACGCGTGGAACCGTGCAAAAACACCCTTTGGCTGTGAAGGCAAGAAGAAGCTTCGAGAGAGCGTTTCGCACCTGAGCCTCCCACGAGCAGAGACACCATCCTCGTCTCGTTGACCTTGAAGGAGTCCCTGTGCGAGAGAGGCGTAGTCTTCCTCAACTCTCGCTGTGGGCTCGCTATGGGCGATAGAAAGAAAAAATCACAGCTCTTCCTGCTTTGCCCAGCCCCCAGAGCATCCCATAGAATGTCACAGCTCTTCCTGCTTTGCCCACCCCCCAGAGCATCCCATAGAATGTCCCTGCGTGTCTTTGAAAAGCACCCATCACACTGCTGAGTTGAAGGGCGCTTGGATGTTCGAAGAAAAGCATGTCGCCCTTTTTTGCTCACCAAATGCGTGGCAGCAGGGTTCCGGTTTAGGGCCAAAGTTTAGGGGTTGCGGGTTTGGGAGCCATTGACCACAAAGGAGATTTGTTTTCGAGACGCAAGCGCTCCCCAAAACCTAAGGGCACAAACAGAACGAAGAATTCAAGGTTGTCGGCTTCTGAGGGACACGCCGTCAGGAGCCGCAGCGACGCAGGCACCGACGATGAACGCTGGCGGCCAACCTCCATGGGTGTTGTCATGGGCAGAAGCAGGTCTGGTGGAGGATGGCGGAGGGCGACAGAACAATCACGGAGCATCCCTCGCCGCATGTGCAAAACGTCCCATGTTGACTTAATGAGAACGTGCTAGCTAGAGCTGCGTGCCTCCCGTGGCTCCCGCACCTCATAGAACCCGCAGACGACCTGCTGACATTCGTTGAGATAGCAGGGACATGGATAACAGGATCTGCCAGGGGCCCCACCCCCGCCCCCACCCGCCCCCGACACTTTAAATCCCCGATATATCGGAGATCAACGGTTGCTGCGGCGGCCGCTGGTGAGTTCTTGCAAGGGCCCGCTAGGGCCACTAGGATTAAACCGTTAGGAGAATTAGGTAGGTCTTTCCCGTAGAGACAAGTGGGTTGTACAGTTGCCAAACTCCCCGTAGCTCCCCGGCCCCAACTTCGGCACGTAGCGCACAAATGGGGAAGATGGTCTCGTTAGATTGTTGTCTGAGGTCTGCAGCTTTGGTGGCGCCGTTTGCGGCTCATCTTGCAAAGGCCTAAGGGGTGTGGCCCTCACATTCTGGTACGTCCTTGTCGCGTCTAACTCGGGGGCACACACTGGCCATCTTCTGGCCTGGGAATTCGCTCCAGGTTTCAGTTGCAATAATCGCTTGCTAGAAAGTCCCGGTTCCTTTTTTCGCACACATCGGTCATTGCGTGATCTGCATCGCGCATCTCGTGGGAACGAATTACGTGGCGGGTTCGCGAACCAGCTTTTCTTAGGTTCGGGACGAAGGCATCTGCAGGAACATGTGAAATTGAAAGGGTATTCCCTGGCCACCAGTTCTGGAGCCCCTGTTTAGTCCAAACCTGAAGCTACACAGGCTATACCCCAAGTAACGGCGCCCTTTCCTACTCTGCGGATCCAGACTCTGCCTAACACCAGAAAGATCTCGCGCCTTCCCCCGTCGCTGACCTGATCCATCAAGCCGGCCTCGGGCGCACCAAAGATGTCGCCCAAGCCGCGGGCTCTAAAGGTGGTAGAATATGCAGCACTCTTTCGCGCTCTTTGGATAACGCGTGTTTTGTTGTGAGTTGCTGTACTTGCGGCAGGTGTCTTATAGAAACGTGAATCCGCCGACCCCCTTTGTCGGCGTCAAGAAGCTGGACTCGTACCTTTCCCGCTGGACCCGCTAGTGCCCTTCCCCATGGACCCGGGCGGCTTGCTTCCTACCTGGATGGAACCACGCGTATTGTAACCCACCTCCATACTCCCACGTTTTGTGACCCATTCCCTACCCCCCCCACCCCTCTACCCGCCCGCCCTTGAACTTCTTATCCGGCCCCTTCTACCCCTTTGCTGTTTTGAACCCCGTCACCCCCACCGGCCCCCCCCACCCCGCCCTTGCTCCCCCCCCACCCAACCCACCCACCCCCCCCTCCCTTGCCCTTCTTCCTCTGCCGCCCTCCGCCCTTTTGGAGCACCGACCCCCCCCTTAGCCCTACCACCCCCCCCGCCCCCCTTTTGCCAGCACCGACCCCCCTTAACCCCACCCACCCCCCCCCCCTTGCCCCCCTTACCCCCTAACCCCCCCTCCACCTTAGCTTCCTTTCCCATTCCCAGCACCCTTTCTGCCCTTCCCTACCCCCTTCCCTACCCGGGCGACCACGTGTTGGCTGCACCCTACCCCCCCCACCCCCCCCCCAACCTCCGCCCCCCCCCCCCCGCCCTCCGCCTTCTGCGAGCACCGAGCCCTTAGCTTTGCCTGCGAGGACCAAAAACAAGATTACAGATGGAACCACCCCCCCCCCCCTACACCCACCCCCCCCCCCTAACCCCACCCTTACCTACCCCGCCTGCCTAGCCCCCCCCCCCCCACAGGAGAAGGACCAAAAAAAAACCAAACTTGTTGCTTGTGAAGGCGGCCAAAGCGGGTGCCCCCCCCCCCCCCCCGAACCCCCCTAGCCCTACCCCCCCCCCCCCTTGCCCCCCCCCACCTTAGCTTCCTTTTCCACCCTTTCTGCCACAGTTCGCCCCCCTCCCGACCCTTCGGCCCGCCAGGACCAAAAACAACCGTACCCCCCGCCTTGCCCCCCTTACCCCCCCCTTTTTTTGGGTGATTATTCGGAAGATGCCCGGCGGTGCCCGGATATCCTGGGGGTGGGCGGCAGCGGCGTCAGCCTTTAAATAAAATCGGAGAGGCTAGATCTGGTGCTTTGGAGTCGATGCACAATCTGCGAGATACTTTGCAAATTTTGGAACGCAACAAAACTGCAGCTCCGCATTGTTTTGGAGACTGTGCATGTTTGCTTCTGCAGGGAATTAGCCAGCTTCTCTGGGTGTCACCAAGGCACGGCAATCGAAAACTCGTCAGTGGCAATCTCTCATTTTGAGCTGCAGGGGTAGTGGAATCGAGTTCAAGCGGGCACCCTAAACCCTAAACCCGAAACCCTAAACCCTAAACCTTAAACCCCATTTAACGAGAGCGTGGAGCTGGCGAAAACTCCCTCTAAAGACTGACTCCCCAACACCTGGGGCCCGCGCATCCACCATGAGCCGCCGGAAGAACCCCCACCTTTGGGCACAAGCAGGCCACCCATGAATCTTAGGGCACTTGAGTGTGACAAGATGTAGGAAATTTGTTGTGGGAGCTCGGCAGCGCCCTCAGCCTTCCCATGCCGGGTTTAGGTCTGTGGGTTCTAAAACCGCTTTCCGAGCTCCGAGCTGTGCATTGTTGAGGACGGCCATGCGCCGCTCTTTCTTGTAAAGGCCTGGGTTGACCCATGGCAAGAGGCGAAAGATAGAGGACAAAGTCTGTGCACGATAGCACGACCCTCAGCCTCAACTAGCACAGTTGGCATAGTAAAGTGGGCGACATGAACGAGCGCACGAGTTCAGTTTGCGGCATGAAGATTAGTTTGCGGCATAAGATCGGACATCAACAAAGCTAGGCAGACCCGTCGCGCTCAGCTCTTGGCTCGTCCTTGATGTTGTGAGCTCACCGACTTCGTTTTCGATCAGCCACCCACGCGTATTGGAATCTCGCTCCATGCTTTTCGCGCGAGCTTCGCGCTTCATCTCGTATCGTTGCCCGATTCACCAGAAGCGAGCCAAAAGAACAAACAGAGGCACGATATGTAAGGCGCTCACGCGCCCGGGAAAATGGTGGATGCGCTTTGTGGTGGTTTGTCTTCGGCTTTTCGACAAATTCTGCAGAAGGACGACGAAGAAAATGAGACGTAAGGTTTGGCATGAGCCTCTTTCTCCCGAAGTGACATCATCAATGCAATGAAGGGATCTGCGTATAAAGTGAAAGACATGTACGCAAAGCCACACCTTTCAGGGCACCCGTTCGAGCTTTGGGTTTCGCAGCGGTTCGTGGGGGGTTTACACGTGCTTACCTGCACCCTCCCCAAGCGGGCGCCCCTGCGCTGCAGCTCCAGAGGGGCGGAGCGGCTCTGCACAGCCACCTGCTGCGCAGGGAGACTGTTGGCTGTCCACAGCAGGCGTTCGTAAACATGCGCAAACTCTCGAAGATGAAGGTTCAGCACAAGCGGGGTGTAACAGAGGTGTCAAGATGGCACGCGGTAACATGCTCTGTGTTGCTGTCTGCATCCTGCCGTCTGAACCTCTCTACACATGCGACTCAATTGACTCGTCCCTCTCTATCACTGAATGCGCCTCAAAAGGTGGCCGAGATCCAGCACGGGCAGGTGCTCGCCGAGCCTGTTCGGAGGTTGCAGGAAAGTGTCGAGGAGTTGCGAGGGATCCGTGCCTCTGCTACGGCCCACGTAATGCACGCCTTGTTCGTTTGGGAAGTTTGCCCGGCGCGCGCTGCTCCACAGGGCCTCCAAAGATGGCCCCTGGGAGACTTCTCAGCTCTCAGCAGCCGCGCCGAGAAGAGTGAGTTTTTTATGGAGTCATCCTCAACACCCTAGGCCATCTCGCTCCAAAACGGCAAATTAGCTGTAATTTCGCGCCTTGGGGGCCCTCTCCTACAGAGCCTTGCTGGGGCCCTCCTGACCCAAGTCCACACCCCGAGAGCCTGGGCACGGGGTTGGGCACTCCAGGGATTCTGTGGGGATACTCCCGCAGCTCGCCAGGCCTCGTCAGAGGAGACCTCCACAGGAGCAGCCGAGGGGGCTGCGGCCTAGTCAATGCTCCACAGGCGCAGCCGTTGGAGAGCGGCACGGGGCAGACGTGAGCATACTTGTAGGCGGGCTTATATATATATATATATATACAAATATGTATATATACATACATGTATAACATATAAGCCAGTGGTTGCTTTGGGTCCAGAGGCGGGGGTTTAGGGTTTAGGTTTTGGGTGTAGAGTGTAGGGTGTAGGGCTTACAGGGCCGCTTAAGAGCAGAATGAGACCTGCCTAATTCTCCTAACGGTTTAATCCTAGTGGCCCTATAGCGGGCCCTTGCAGAACTCACCAGCGGCTGCCGGAACAACCGTTGACAAGTCTCGCAGGCCTAAGCCCGCGACATCATCAGACCTGACTGACACAAGCTAAACGTGCAGCACCAGCTGCTGCCCCATCTTGTCCACTGCAGACGCCCGAAGCATGCCAAAGACGAAGGACATGCCAGTTTTTGTGTAACGCGTCGAAGTTTTCGGGAACCGAGCCTGACTTATTGAAACAAGCCTGGGCGCCTAAACCAAGACCTTCTGAAGGCAACTGGAAACTGCAGTCCCGAAAAGGGTTCCATGCCGGCAGATGCAAGGGCGTCTTTTTCTCTCCGCAGCTGCTGCAGCCCGCCTCTTGGCACGGCGGATTTCTTTCCACAACGGCATCCTTTGCTTCTGCTTCTCCGAAAGTTTTCGCTTGTAATCATAAGCCGGCTCCATGTTTGCAGCAGTTTCTTGAACTGCAGCATCTGCAAAAAACGCTCTGCAGGCCGCATGCTCTGCGGCCAGCTTCTTCTGTGCCACCTCGCCCCTGAACTCCTGCCCGCTCCATACATGTGGAACTCCGTTTCTGTCTTCAGCTGTGACGGTCACTGTGGACTGGTTGAAACAAAGGGGGCCCTCCTTCACCTGCACGGTGTGAAAGCAAACCCCCATCTTCTCGAGAGTGTTCTCGCCCCGTGTCGCGTGCTTCAAACGCCTTGGGGCTGCAATTCAAATATTCATGGGCCAACTAAGGACGCAGAATTAAAAGCAAATGCAAGTTCGCGGCTGCAATTGGCTGCAGGTTTAAAACCTGGTAACCCAATGTAACAAGTTGCGCTTTTGGACTAAGTATTGCTCTCTCTCACAGGTACTTCCTGAAGGCTTGATTTCATCATATTTCATCCTTCCTCCCCTCCGGCTTTAATTCTGTTTGAAACAAGGTCAACACTCTGTGCTTCGGTTGTGACTGCACTCCCCTCAGCACCGTGCACGCTCTGTCTCTCTTCCTTCCTTCCTCTCTCTCTGTCTCCTTCTTCTTTTTCTAGTTCCATCTTCCTTTCCTTCCTTCGTGCCCTCCGAATTGCTTTCTGTCAAAACCAAAACCACGCTGACAAACAACACGAACTACGTACGCCGAACATCAGCGCCCCATAAACGAGCAGAAGAAGCCGGGTTGAAATCGCGAAGATCAAACCCCGAGTAGGGAACGAATTCCTACGCAAGCACTCATTGGGATTCGGCGATGCCGGCCGAGGAATCAAAGTAGTCTGCAAGGCGAACAGCTAACGGTTTGCCCAATACTTTTGGAACCTCCTGAACGGTTTGGAGAGGGTCGGATGGCGCAAGGCAGCTCTGCATCAGCCCCAACAAAAAACATGTCATTACACCCGTGCAACTCAGGGCGGGACTGCATGAAGTCGAGCATGGTGCTCTTTTCTTCGCCTGGGTGCTTCGTCACGTCGAAGCCCGGGGCTTTGCTCTTCTTCTTCTTCGGCTTCTTCTTGGAGGCAGTGTCAATTGGACCTCGCCGCATCTCCAACTCGTCCACCCTGAAGCGGCTGCTGCCGGGCAACGGTGGTGACGGACTGCTTGTGCGGGAGCTTGAGGGAGACAAGCCCATCCGCGCAGCTACCTCCCTCGCCCTCGCCTCATCCACAGATTTCTGTCCGAAGGCTGCCGGCATCTGATGGCTAGAGGCCGCGTCGCTTAATGGGCTCGTGGTCTCCAGAGATAAACCGCCGTGGTCCGGGCTCCGGTGTCGAGGACTGACGCTTCCTCTTCTTTTTATTCTTTTTGGGCGTGTCTGGATCATCGCTGGAGCTGGGGGACTGGGAGCTCCTCAGCCTCAGCGACCTGGAGTGCCTTGAGCAACAGCGCCGCAAAGGAACCCTCCTCCTCAACACTCTCAGTTGTCTCCGCCCTATGCTGTAACATATAAATATACAACGTGCAAACTCTTCCAGTCCATATGTACATTCCGCACTCTATATCAATCCTGCACTGTGTATGAACCGACTCTTGGTGCTCATGCTCGGAACAACTTTCAGACACGAGCTTCTCGACTGAATTGGGAGCAAGGCTAGATAGAGTCGAGGGTGCATGCCGTAAGCTCGGCAAAACAAGAACTCGCCACCTTGACTCTCGTGTATGTCTCTGTGATGACGCGATGCCCTGAACCCCAGCAAACCAGAGCACACTGAACAAAAAAAACACTGCACCAACAGCACCTTCAAACCTCACTCCCTTTCCCCCCTTTCCAGGCATTTTGCCTGTGTGAATCTGATGCAAGCCCCGTCCACATGTTCCCTGTGCTGCCCTTAAGTATATGGCATACTACCCTGCGGCCAAGCTGCAGAACTGACGCCAGTATTTCTCCAACCTCTCAGCGGCTGCATCATCGTAGTCATACCACCCAACCTCCTGCAATGCCACACGGACTGAACTGTTCATATTCGCCTCAGCTTCCTGCCGAGAAGCGACTACCCTCCCCCCACCCCCCCCCGCCCCCCACCCCCCCCCGCCCCCCACCGCCCCCCCACCCCCCCCCGCACCCACCCCCCACACCCCCCCACCTCTTACCCCCCCCACCCCCCCCCCATCCATCCCCCCCCCAGCCCCCCCCCCCCCCCCCACCCCACCCCCCCCGCCCCCCCCCCACCCCCCCACCCCCCCCCACCCCCCCCCCCCCCCCCCCCCCACCCCCCCACCCCACCCCCCCCCCCCCCCCCCACCCCCCCCCCCCACCCCACCGCCCCCCACCCCTTTTTTGCGAAACCCTCTTTCCTCCTTTCCTGTCCTGGGGCCGGCCCGGCTGCCGAGGCGGCGCGGGAATTATTTACATCATCTACGACTACATTCTAGCATCTTTCATATATACACTGGTCCAGCTGGTCGACAGGTCGAGCCATGATACAATGGCGTGTGCTAGCTACGCAAACTGTAGGGCCGAAGTTGGGCCGAACTTGGCATCTCACGCGCTGGGGCCTCGTGGCAACATGAGAAGCCCTCCTGCCCCTGAAGGCCCCGAAGCCCGAAACCCAAAGTCTCTGCAAAGCTCTCGGGGCTGAGACACCCCAAACTTCGCACCCCAGGATCGCCGCAAGATTCCCAGACTCGACACGCCCACCAGATGCCCAGGTTTTGGTTCAGGGCTTAGGGACTGGGGCGAGCGAGGACAGTCTAGCTTTCAGGCTTGGGCTGACCTTTGGCTGACTTGTTCATGGTACTTGTTAACCTATTATGACTGTACTGGCTTTTCCCTAAATACAGTTATTTGATACAGTTATAATTGGTTCGTAAGCACCACGAACCTCCAAGTCGGGGGCATTTTGGAAGGGGGGGGGGCAAGCCTGCTCGAAGCGGAAGCTCATCGCAGCGAACTCTGCAGGCCACCGCAAGCCTGGGGGCGGGGGGGTCCAATGTGGGTTTCGGGTTTAGGGTTTAGGGTTTAGGGTTTAGGGTTCAAGCTTGAGGGTTTCGGGTTTAGGGTTTAGGGTTTTTGCCTGTTTGGGATCTTGTCATCTGGGTGCAGAAGGAGGGCACAAGGGGACCGGGAAAGCTGGAGTCCTTCGCGTGCTACGTTTGTATCAGCAACGTCGACTTTCCCGCCACTGAGGCTCCAAACGTCCTCCCCATACTAGGTATGTGCAGCCATCCCAGCCGATGCAACTTCGGACGTCCTCCACGAAATACGTTTGTACCATTGATCGTTAAGCCGCTACAGCTCCGAACGCCCTCCGCGTGCTATTTCGGTAGTACAAAGCCAGAGTTCGGAGCTACTTGCAGCCCAAAAGTGAGTACAGTTCTGCAGGAGACGGCGCATGGGACAGAGCCGGGGGGGCACCGGGAATTTCCAGATCCGCACTTGTGTGGAGAAAAAAACCCACGGGACCGGGGCAAGACGTGCCTTGAAAAAACCGCATGACACATGTCACGGGCATCGTTTCTACCATGGAAGATGGAATGTTCATGCGGTTCCTGAAAAAAACGATATTGAACTTACTGTTGTTCCTGTATTTTCCTCGTCGGTTGAGGGCTCGCAGCGATGTCAAGGCGGGATGGAAGTGTTTCGGAAGCTACTTGTCTGGCTCTGTTCCCGCCCTACGCCACACCCGGCAATCCAACTGCTCTACTTGCGCGTTTCCTGCGCAGTGTGAATTGCTCAAAGGTTGTGGGGTTTCTGCTGCGGCAAAGGTGCTGCCCCATCGAACTCCTCAAAGATTCGCTTGGTCCAGGAGTCTTCCTTCAGCATCTGCCGGCCCAGGTGCTCCGCAGTATCCAGATCCATCTGCGCGTCATTCCTGAAGGCGAAAGTACGAAGCGCGTCAAATGCTTACACCCTCGACGCGGGACCCGAACCCCGACTTCAAACTCTTAAATCGGACTTACGGGGAACCAGTGGAGCCCTCTCATAATTCTCATACTTTCCGCCCATGGCTCAGAGGGCTCTGGGCGTCGACGTCCTGGGCCTGCGCCACCGAGGCTTTGCGGGTGGCGGTGCCGCGAGGCACCCTTGGCCAGTGCCGGCAGAGGCTCCACCTCCAATTCGTGGGTTTACTGGGGTGAGCCTACAGGGGACCAGCAGGTGTATGGGGAAAAGCGGAGAGTGTGAGAAGGATAGGGGGCTGCACAAGGGAACACCAATGCACCACCATGTGCATCCATGAACGGCTTCTGGCCCAGCAGGCTAGATCCCACCAACAAGACTAAGAACCCTCGGCGGCTGCCTCGAGGTGCGCCATGGTCCTCCGCACCGCGCGCACGGAGCCTGGCGTGACGGCGCGGCGCTCCTTCCCGGTCGCACGAGTGTAGGATTATAGAGAGGCCCCCGAAAAGGCTTAGCTACCCGAACTCCCCCCCGAGCCCTGCAACTCTTCTCGAACCTTTCGAAGCCTTCGAACCCTTCAAACCCATCCCTCGTCCTTCCACGTGCCGCGCGAGGCCCAGCCCAAGCTCCCAGCACTCCGGTCCCGAACCAAGGGGCTCCTGGGCTTTGGAGGAAAGAAGGATCTGGGTTTAAGGGGGGTTTAGGGTGTGCTCGGGGAAAGATATACCCCCAAGGCCACCCGAACCATTTGCATAACGAGCCGAAAACGAGCCATACGAAGCCGAAGCCATCTATCTCTTGTTCGCAAGCTCCATGGGCAAGAGCAACTTTACCCCAATCCGGTTCGACATGCTTCTAACCCAAATTCAGTTCCCCCGTTGTGCTGAAAGCAACTTTTACCCCAATCCGGTTTGACACGTTTTGGGGTTCCCCAGCGAAAGGTCTTTACCGCCTTCGGGCAAGAGCAACTTTACCCCAATCCGGTTTGACATGTGTCTTGGGGCTCCCCAGCCAAAGATCTCTTTTCTTCCTTCGGGCAGAGCAAGTTTACCCACCCCCCTCCCCCCCCAACCCCAAACGCTGAAAGGCGAAGACGTCTGAAAACCGGGTACGGCCACAGCAGCGCATGCATTTCTATGACATGCAGACCAGACCATGTGTCGTGACAATTCCTGCTGCACGCAAACGTGTCTTGGGGCTCCTTAGCCAAAGGTCTTTTCCTCCATGGGCAAGAGCAATTTTACCCCAATCCGGTTCGACATGCCTCACATTCCCTATGTACATGATGTGGCAGTGCGCGTGCAAACGGGGACCGCTAAGTGATTTCTGCCACTTGCCCCGCTTGCCCCACTTGCTGTGCTCCCTTACCGAAAACCACTTTGCCCCACTTGCCCCACTTGCCCCACTTGCCCCACTTGCCCTGCCTTAACCGCTAAGTGATTTCTGCCACTTGCCCCGTTTGCCCCACTTGCCCCACTTGCCCACTCCCCCCCCTCCTACCCCAGCCCACCCTGCAAGTGGGGCGTGGGGCAAGCCCACCCTGCAAGTGGGGCGTGGGGCAAGCCGGCCCCCCCCCCCGCCCCCCCCCGCCCCCCCCCCCACCCCCCCCCCGCCCCCCCCCCCCCCGCCCCCCCCCACCGCCCCCCCCCATGGCCTGACAAGTCTGCCTCAAATCTTGTTGCCCCTTTCATGTTGCGTTTCCCTTCCTTCCCCCCTCCCCCTCCCCGCCCTTCCCCTTAAAATCCCCCCCTGTGTTGCCTGACAAGTCTGCCTCAAATCCGGCTGCGTTTGAGGCAGACTTGTCGTGCCGGTTTCCTACTCTTGATCGTGTTCCCCCCACCTCCCCCCCCCAAACTCCCCCCCCGCCTCCCCCACCCTTCCTGATCCTCCTCCCCTCCCCGTCCTTCATCTCAAAATGGCCCCCTTCTGTGGCCTGACAAGTCTGCCTCAAATCGGGCTGTGTTTGAGGCAGACTTGGCCTCTTTCGTGTTGTCACCCCTTCCCCCCCCCCCACCTTCCCCTCAAAATAGTCTTTCTTGTCTGTGTTCCCCCCCCCCCCTCCCTTCTCTCCCCTTCCCCTCGTCTCAATGCAGCCCGATTTGAGGCAGACGTGTGGCTAGGTTGGTCATTTTAGGCTAGGGCCTGTCCGAGTCTAATAGCACTTAAGGTTCTATATGGCAAGGGTCTGCCCCCAACAAGCCCCACCCACAAGTCTGCATCAAATTCAGTTTGATTTGAGGCAGACTTGTGCCTAGGTTGGTCATTTTAGGGTCTGTCCGAGTCCAATAGCACTTGAGGTTTTTTACATGGCAAGGGTATGCCCTCAACGAGTCCCAGCCACAAGTCTGCCTCAATTGCAGCGAGATTTGAGGCAGACTTGTGGCTGGTTGGTTACTTTAGGGTCTGTCCGAGTCCAATAGCACTCGAGGTTCTACTTGGCTAGGGTCTGCCCCCAACCAGCCCCAGCCACAGGTCTGCCTTGAATGCAGCCCGATTTGAGGCAGACGTGTGGCTAGGTTGGTCATTTTAGGGTCATTTTAGGGTCCAACAGCACTCAAGGTTCTACTTGGCTAGGGCCTGCCCTACAACCATAAGTGGACCATAAGTCTGCCTCAAACGCAGCCTGATTTGAGGCAGACTTGCGGCGAGGCGAGGGGGGGTGGGGGGGGGCGCTTGCCTCACTTGCCCCACTTGCCCCACTTGCCCCACTTGCCCCACTTGCCCCACTTGCCCCACTTGCCCCACTTGCCCCACTTGCCCCAGTTACCCAGGCAGCAGGGATTACTCCTGAGGCAAGTGGGGCAAGTGGGGCAAGTGGGGCAAGTGGGGCAACATCAATTAGCTTTTCCGGGCCACCAAGTGGGGCAAGTGGGGCAAGTGGGGCAACATCAATTAGCTCTTCTGGAAAGGCAAGTGGGGCAAGTGGGGCAAGTGGGGCAACATCAATTAGCGGACCCCCTGGGCGCTCGCAATGTGATGTGGGTAGTTCTTCTGCCTTTCCTTTGCACATTCCATTGGTGGAGGGAGGCAAGCCTACAAACAAAGGCATTTCTAAGCCCGAATATAATGAAAGGATATTTGCTCACAGTATTCTCGCGTCCCGGGCTTGGATGCAATGATTTTTCCGCATCACCCTATGCCCTCGAATGCTTTGTAGTCTTGCGGTTTGAGGATTACAGGATTTTTCGCCATTATCTGTGTTTGATGTCCAGTACATATTCCTCTGCCTTTTTATACTCATTCGTCACGACTCACACATGAAAAGATTTAAGCCCCGAGGCTTTCCCACAATTCTATCGAGTCCGGGAGTACTAAATCTCAGAGGATGTTTTATGTAACACGGCTGTTTCGTTCGTCATACCTGTCCAGAATTACATCTCCATAGGAGACAAAATTGTAGGGCTATGTGTTTAGAGTTGAGGGTTGGTCTTGGGGGGGGGGGGGGGTTAGCACATATATGTATATATATATATATATACACATGATATATATATATATATGTATATGTATATATGTATATTTTTTGGTTATGTATATTTTTTGTATGCATATTCAACCACTGATTGGGGCTTCTTGTGGGTGCAAAGGATACAGGGCCATTCAGGGCCCTGAATCGCCCTGCAGTTTAAGCGGATTCTCAAGCAGAAGAACGTCAGCCGAACATAGGCTGGAAGTCGACATCTTGTTGTTCGGTGCACACTTAAGCAGAAGAGGGCTTGGGCTTTTCTCAGAATCTCAAAACGAATCTGGGTTCAACCCAAGGGCGTATCTCACTGCATCTGAGGGTCTTAAAGGCATGACTCCACCTGCAAGGGAGACAATGTCTCTTGGCGTGGCAAGCCAAACCCCTCCTATGCACCCCTCCTATGCGGGGGGGGGGGGGGGGGGGGGTATGCCATGTCGACGAGACCAGCCCATGCAAGAAAAGCAAAACAAAGACATCTAAGACCCTAAGCACTGCCCTGTAGTTTCCCAACAGTTCTAAAGGTGTAAAGGCCCTCAAAAAAACCCTCAACCCAATGTAACTGCCTTGTCCGGCATGCGGAACATGATGTTCGGGAAGGAGCAGCTCCAGCCCTGCTCACAAACGTCGTCATCTCTTGGTTGTTGGGTTCTTTGCTTCTTTCTTTCAGTTTTTCTTGAGTGGGGGGCGGAGGGTCACAAGGAAGGCCGGAATAGCTGAATAACAGAGAGCAAAGGCAATGATCATGTCACACGAACCTCGAAGTAACAATAACTTGGGTACTAGTACCTGGACAACCGCTGCATAGACCTGTCCGAGGCAAGAAGGGACGGCACCCAACATCTGCTTCTGACTGGACCCTAAACCCTAGCCCTAAACCCCATGGAATCGTTGTCGTAATCCTTGTAGCCTTATAGCCCTGGAACCCTAGTAGCGCCACTATGGTGACCCTTTTAACTTAAAAACCCTTGAAGGAACAGTTAAACCCTCACACCAAGTAAACCCTTGCCCATCCATCGCCAAACTGGGTCGCGGACCAAGTCGCGCAACCCGCAACACGTTGCAGCGGCCTGAAGAGAGGGGGGGGGCAACAACTCCGAAGCCCTACAACCTAAGCGTTTAAAAGCCGAGGCCGTAAAGGGTCGAATGCCGGCAATAGCATTATTAGCCATCACCAACCATAATAGTAGCAGAAAATGGTCGTAAGGAGCAGCATGCCCATGATCACGGAACTCTCTGAGGATTGGAGATGATGTTTCTCCGCAGTTTCAGCGATTCGATGAGGATGCTTTCAGGGTACTACAGGGTCTAGAGCTTAGAGGTTAGCATTTAGGGCTTCAGGATCGTACCTACAAATTACTCTCCCCATTCTCTCAAAGGGCCAGCAAGAAATTGAAGCGTAGAGTTTAGGATTTCGTTGTTTACCCATGAGTCTCAAACAAGTTCTTTTCTCAGGCTCTTAGCAGGAACATCTTCAGCAGGCACACACATGAATTGTCTTCAATGCGGGATGGTCAGAAAGGACTAGCCTGAACCCAAACCAAGCCCCGGAACCAAACCCCACTAGCGCCAAACCCTCCCAACCTTCAACCCTCATTCCTAAACCCTACATGCTAAAACCCTAAAGCGATACAAGGCAGTATTTCTGCAAAGCAATTCTTCGAGTGCGCAGCTGTGGCTTTCAGTCCAAGGCAGGTGTGGCCGTGGCGCATGCAATGGGCGCAGACAGGTAGCTTACTTGAAGGCTCATGGGACGCCGTACCAGTATGCAGATTGCAAGCAAGATCGTAAAGTAGGGTTAACTAGGTTACATATTGTCACAAGTAGGACACCTATAAGTCCAGCCAGAAATCCATGCACGCCCAAACCCTAAGCTCTGACCAGAACTTGATTGCTGAGTCCCTTGATCCTTGAAGTAGGGCGTGTGCAAAGACCAGAGGAGCTCGGCTCGAGAGAGCTCTCTGTTATCCTGAAGTATGGGACCTGATAAGGTGTAGGGCTCAGGTTTGGAGTTTAGGGTCTAGCAAGTTAGGGCTTAGGGTTTAAGGCTTAGGATCGGGGTGTAGTGTAGGGTTTGGGGATGCTTAGGCGCTGTTTCTAGCTGTCGGCCGAGACTCCTCAATCTCTCGTCTTGAGAGAGGCCAGGGTTGGCTCATGGGACTCGGTATGCAGACTGCAAGTAAGATGGTAAGTAGGCTTACATACCCCACGTAGGATACCTATAACTCTAGCCGAGACTCTAGCCAAAAACCCATGCGCCCCCAAACCCTAAGCTCTGACCAGAACTTGATTCCCGAGTCCCTTGATCCGTTTCTAGCGGTCGGCCGAGACTCCACCTCCGAATCTCACTCAGGGGCTTGCTGATCCCTAAAGAAAACCCATGTACATCCATGTAAGAACCCTGCCCTCCCTAATTCCTCAGCAGCAGGCTTCGGTATCCGGGTACGTGTCCAAGGCTCACGGTGTAGACTCAAGTTGAGGGTTTGGGTTTTAGAGTTTGTTTTTAGGGGTTCAGGGTTTAGGGGTTCAGAGACTTTGAGTTTAGGGGTTTAGGAGTTTAGTGTCCGGGGTTTCGGGAGTGTTTTCACCGTGTGTTTGATTTTCATGAAGGGTTTTGGAATTTCGGGGTGGGCAGCATCGTCACAACAATTGAGAAATGGGTTTGGGGGTATGCGCTGCACTTCTCGGGTCTCAGAGACAACTTCAGAGTGCTGAAGTTGTCTAAGAATTATGAACAGTACAGAGCCCGAGTTAATTGTAATCATGTCGTCATGAAGTATGATCGCCCCACGATAGGAATAAGGCCGGTATATTGCAGCTCTAGGATTCATAGCTTTATTTTCGGGCTTGGGCTCCCCAATGTAGAGATCGTAAATACTTGGGGTTTGGGGTTTGGGTTCAAGGTTTAGGGTGTATTTAGGTTTTTTATTTAGGGCTTAGGGTTTGGGTGAGTTTAGGAATAGCAGACAATCGCGCAGGGAATATGGACCTCCAGATTTTGGGCTGAGACAAAGTGGCCGACGGGCGCTTGCGGGCTTTACATCCTAAACACTACTCTCGAAAGCATTGCCGTTGGAGATTTGTTTCGTTCCATGGTACTGTGGCTGCACGAGGGTTGGAGGACAAGACTGAGAAGGTTGTGGGTCGAATTTTGGTCATAGTGTCTTTCTATATTCCTTGATTGTATTGTCCAACATGCCCCGTTGGCTTAGTAGGTAGGTGTTAGCGCTGCGCGCAAGTCTGCACTGCTTGAGTTTATCACGCACACAACACCAAAGAATCCGGAGCGCGGCTTGTTGCCTCTCTCGTCTTGAGAGAGGCTCAAGCTTTTGGCCTTGGCAGCACCATGCTATCCAGACAGCGAGCCCACTGCCCCAGCTCACGAACATGAACTTTGTGGAGGTATGAGCCCATAAGAAGCTTACTGTTGCATCTTCGAAAGCGGGTAACAAGCCTTCTGCTTCCAAGTTGCCTGCTGCTGCCGGTGCAGCAGCAGAGGCACTCCCACAGCCAAGCAAGGGAGTCCTCAAGAAAGCGCCAAGGGAAAAGGGGCTGAGGGGCATGGTCAGAACGGGTGTCGTTGGGGAGGACTGTCAATGTTGAAGTTGATTCCTCAGGCATAAACAGGACGCGTAGAACACAGAGGAAGGTTTCCGTTCCGGTTTGCCGTGGTCCTTCTGATGCTGCCCACCTCAGCTCCGAGTTTCCCTAGCTCGCTTGGCATTTGCATTTCTTCGATCGTTTTCGGATTGCTTGCTGTATGCCCATCGTCTGGTTCCTACGAGTACCAGCCATACTTCAAAGCCGTGCCCAAACCAGTGGGAGCCGATCTAGGAGTGCTTGGCACAGTGCCCGTTACCCCAGTGGTACTTGAAAAAACAATCGATGCATACAGGTTCTAGTCATTCTAGTCAGAGAATGAAAAGCATGTGTACACATGTGTCTGTGGATATATATCTATGTTTACAAATACATCAACAAATAAATAAATATAAAGAAGATAAAATGAATATAACAAATAAATAAAAGAGTCCACGCAAAGACGCAGCCATCTAAGGACTCTAAGGACTGGCCTCCGTCGCCGGAGGCTCAGAAAGACCAGGGCGGAGGGCCGGCAGCCTGTAGATGGCGGTGCAGGGGATCGGTGAACGCCCTTCATTCTTCGTTGCAGAGACCTTCGGGTTCAGCTTGCGTCGAGAGATTGCAGATCGAGCTTCTGTCCGGGGCACTCATTGCTTCTACAAGGGCTTTGCTGCAACTGCCACCGGGAGGCGATTGCTCCAAGGATCCCTTCTCCATTGTCTGCAGGACAGCATCTCGGCGATGGTAGATGGCTTTCGGGTCATCATCCTGATGGCAGCAGGGAGTTTAGTCTTACCAAGTTTAGGGTGGTGCCATTATACCTCATTTGGTTTGACAACTTCAGAAGTGTGTACTGAGTGTACTGTCTGACAGATGCTTGAGCTCTTTCTCGGAAGGGTTACAAGTTCTATCACATGGCTTCCAATCCAGTTTTTCACAAGAATGGACCCTTTCACAAGATATCCTCAGCGCAGGGGCCCGGCTTCAGGGGGAACCAGAATTCAGAATGCTACTCCAAATGAGTCCGAAAATTCGTCTGGGATGGGAAATCCGAGCGACCTCCGCCGATTCCCGCCCAATCCGTTGAAAAACTTCGGAAGGTCGCAAGTATGACAACTGCTGACAGCTGCTGCATATTTAGCTTGTGGCCAAGCGACTCCGGGTCTCGGTTTTGGCAACGATGGAGCCATGTGAGGTTTGTAGGCTCCGGAAAACTCGGGCTCCTATGGTCCAAGGCACTGTGGTCTTCAAACCTTCGACTCTGAGTAAATCTCGCCGGGTTCCACGCCATTAAGTCGCGCAAACACATTACCGATTCTGATAACTGTGGGGGCGGATTGACGTCTGCCCGTCTCTGTGAAATGAGCATTGAGGCAGCTTGTGAAGTGAACTCTGCTGCAGGCTGGTGCGCGAGTAATCCCGGTAACAGCAACCGGAGTGCTAGTGGCATTTCCTGGTTAAGGAGGTCCCCAGGTATCAGCAGACAACACCCCCTTCCCCCACCCCACCCCCCCTTCCCCCCCGACATCTTCACTACTTCTTGCCACTCGGCGAAAGAGCTTTCGCTCCAAAGACATGCTTCTTTACGGCGGTGCAGACTACATGTCCTTGATGCTTGAGAGCCTGGTGAGCAGGCTGGGCAGGATCCTCGCCTCAGTTTCCGGATTTCAACACACACTCAGGACTCAATGCCTCACCTCCGCTCGCTGCCTCACGCACGCATGCACGCATGCACACACGCATGCGCACGTAGGCAGGCTTGCTTGTGCGTGCACTGACTTCCATGCCAACATACTCCACTAAAGGGTGTAATTGTCCACTGCCAGGCCATGCAGGCAAGAATTGAAGTGCCTGTCAGTGTCTCCCTCTCAGACTCTCGCTATCTCTCGCTCCCTCGCTTAATCCAGTGCGGTCGGTGAAATCTCTCCATTGATCGAGACTTGACTCACAGCAACATGTGCACGCTCTCATTGTTTGCTTCTCTCTGCTGCTACTGCCACTGCTACTGCAGCTGCCGGTGCTTTTGCAACTGTCGTTTTTCCTCCTGCTGCTGCTGCTGATGCTGCTGCTACTACGACGACGAGTACCACTGCCACTGGGGTGTTACCGCTCGCTTGCCGCGCTCAATAAAGGCAAGGACTTGGCCTCGTCAAGGAGCCCCACCGGCAAGCTGCGCCTTTGGTGGGCAGTGGGGGATCGGTGCAGAAGCAAGCAGCAAAATCAACGGGCACTTTCCTTCATCACATGCTTCACGTGCACTTCCTAAATTCGCCACGACCAGGTCACGACTACTAAACATACGAGTACGGCAATGGTCACATCAGGTCCCCTAGCCTAGTCCTCTTTCAGACTGTGACAGAAACTCGGCATGCGAAACCCAGTGCAGCCAAATGGGCGTCGTGAGCATGTTGCCCACCTTTCACAGGAAAGATCAATATTGTCGCACCCTTTGTCTAGGGTTTACAAGGGTCTTGTAGGGTTGGCCTTTCATTGTTTTTGGATACTAGACGGTTTTGAGTGGCATTTTAAGGGTATGTAGGTGTAGCTGCTTGTTGAGTCCACAGCAAGGATTTCATACGATGCTGTATAGGGCTTCTACGATGTGTTCAATGGGTTTCTCTCTGGTTCGATGTCATGGGCTTCGCGGTCTGGGATTCGCATGACTCGGGAAAACTTGGGGAGCGAGCTCACTCCATCTGTGGCTGAGGTAAGCGACCTAAAACCCCGAAGGCCAGGCGGGGGCTCTGTGTGGTAGGGTATTGGATAACTGGGTTTCCTGAACAGGCTGCGATGCACGCTTGCATACAGTTAGTGAGAGGCTTGTACAAGCGAGGTCATGGTGCTACATACATGCGCATGGTTGTTTGCGTTCTTCTTCCTGTTGTGTGTGCTACAGTAGGCTTTGCACGGTTTGTAAGAGGCTAAATTGAGGCGTTGTGTCAGAGAGCCGAAGACCCTTTCAGGAACAGATTACACCCCATCGAAAATTCACAGATCTGACATACACATTCGCCTGAGAGAGCGTGCAAAATGGCATAGTTATGACTGGTCGGGACAGGGGCTGCCTCCGGGGCTTTTGGGGATTGTGCACATGTACGGCTTCCGGCTTCTGGCTTCTGGCTCGTGTTGGGGTTTCTCGGTCTCTCCAAAACTTCCAATCATTGAGCACATTGCAAGCATAATTGGGCCCGGGACGAGCGGACTGCGCGTCCGCGATGCGGCAGCCTATAGTTTTGAAGGACCAGAACGAGGGTCACGGAGTTGTGTGTTTCTTGCTTGTGGAAGAGAGAGGTTATTTTGGCTTGAGATTTTTGGGGTGAATTGCTTGGGATGGCCCTTCGCCCTCACATCCGAACAAGCCCAAGCACGCCTTTTAAAAGCGAGACAAAGCTTGGAAACTGCTGCGTCCAATCACCCTGACCCTCAAATGGACCGCCCCAAGCCAAGTCAATGTTGTTTCAAAGCTTGGGGAGTTTCTGGCAGGTCAAGGACTGCAAGCGGCTGCCTAAAACTGGGCTCTGGGGCGTTTACATCTTGCGATGGGGGGTTCAAAGTTTAGGCTTTGACTTCAAGCTAACAACTCGACTCCGGACCCCTTTACTCCTGATGGGATTGCTAGACCAACCAAGTACATCCTGAGCCTCATCCTGTTCCCCAAACCAGGCGAAAACCCACAGATCTTGCGAAGGCTAGGGGCTGGCACAACTGCAGGCAGCTCCATTCCTTCCTGAAGGGACGCAAACATGAAGTTCAACATTACTTTGCGACTAGAGATTTGAATTTCATGGGAGTGGCTTCGGGTTGTGTTGTGCATGGCGGAGGTCTCCATGCAGCTTGGTTGCGCAGCTGCTTCGCATAAAGATGTAAGTGCACAGTTCACATCTCTGACTTAAGAACAGCCGTGAGAAAGAGAGAGAGAGAGAGAGAGAGAGAGAGAGAGAGAGAGGGAGAGAGAGGGAGAGAGGGAGAGAGGGAGAGAGAGCGCGAAAAAAAATGGCAGTGATGGCCGGGCAAGGTCGCTTTGGGGGGGCTTTTGGGGCTTGCGGCTTGCGGCCATGTCTTGGGAGGAGAAACGAAAGGCTTCGCAGCCCACGACACTCTACCCTGAAACAAACCTGTAGAGCTTACACCACAGATGCTCAATGCACGGCGGGCAAAGAGAATCAACTGCCCAAGCCCTGACTAAACCCCAACCCCTCCGCCAGGCTTCCTCTTTCATCCAAAGCTTGGCCTCTTCCTGCAGGGCCTGTGGACATGAGCTGGCTTCAAAGTGACCCGGTGATGCTGGCCGTGTTTTTGACTCGGGCCGTCTCTCGTTTTAGATTTTTCGTGTTTCGAAATGGAAATTTGGGGACGTGCGTGTCATAGGCCTGCTCCAGGAGTGCTCAGAAAACCACCTGTAACTAATATGTTATTCGATTACCAAATATTTGAACAGATTCATATAATCATCGACCATTATTGCAATTTCACAATGTATAATATCACTATTTGGTATTTGTGTATCAAAACTTTTAATAATTTCATTTCTCAGTAACTCATTATTAATAAATAAAGAATAGTCACCACGAGCCAGATGAAGGAGTGTATCCCGGCCGCTGCATTATTACGACTGTGTGACTGTGAGTGGTTGATGGTCCTTCGCACTATCTAACCAATACCTTTAGGCCGCCGAGAACAAAAGAAAACAACGCGACTAGATAGCTCATTGGACGCGGTGTCGGGTTGAGTTCTACGGTTCTACGGCTGTTGCGTGTTCTCCAATTGTACACTGATGCCCGCATACAACACTTGCGGGGACAGCTTGAGCGAAAGCAAAAGCTCAAGATCCTGTGCGAGGTGTGCTTTTGAATGCCTTTCATACCACAGCACACACTACCAAGCATTGTTCACTTTGGTATGGATGTTCTGGAGAAGAAGTGCCGTGGACAATGAAGGTTAGCACAAAAACCTGTGACAGACACTCCGCTGCCTGTCTGCACTGGTAGTATGCATCATTTCATGGCCAGGTCATGGACATTCGACAGGTGCAATCACGTCGACACACTTGAAGATAACAACGGTGACTTCGACATTAACAAAGCCTGGCTGGATCCTGTATACTGAGGCGCTGAGCGAGCGTATACTGAAGCGCTGAGCGGCTTAAAGCAAGGATTGGGTTTCAAGCAATTTCGCGACTTAGACGACCATCAGCATACATGCAGCCAGCAGACCCTGGTAACCAATGGATGCCGCCCGCGCGGCCAGTCGTCCATGGTGTACAAGCCCCCTACAGTATTGAAACCATGTAGAAGAATCCCCTAAACCCCGCCTAAACGCTGAAATGGCGAAATGGGTTTAGGGTTTAGAGTATATAGACCGTAAACCCTGAACCCTCAGGACAATAAATGGGTGAAACCTACAGCCCTACGATGCTCTGAACTTCCTTTGATTTTGCATGGAGCAAACAGCTGGAGCTGAGGACAGCGGGTCGCACTCTCCAGCTGGGTCCACGCCCGCAACGTTGCGAGGACATCCTTGAATGCCGAAGCCGTCAAACCCCAACCACGAAACGGCTCAAGGCCCAATCCAAAAACCATTCCAAAGAGCTTAAAACCCCCTCAGCGCGAAGCCATGGCCAGCCTCATTAGACTCCTACTCCCCCCATACACCCTTGGAGCCCTGAATGCCAACGTGGGACGCAGGAACGCCACATCTCCCTGTACACCGAGAAACCTGAATCCCCGAGCCCAAAAGTTCCAGAGTCCTGAAGCCTAAACCTACGACCCAAGGCCACTAGAAGTTCCTAAATCTCTGAACCATAGAGTCCCCACGCTCGCAGGAAAGGGTCACAAGCCTCGCGTCTGTCGGGATGCAGCCTTCACGCCTTTGCCATTTGCTCGATGTTAGACTGGGGGTCACCACCGCTTCAGGGTCCGAGGGCTCGGGATCGGCTTGTGCCCATGACGTGCCGTGCCGTGCGGGTGAGGTCCGGCCCAGGGCACGGCAGATCTGGGTGCGAGGTTGGGGCCCAAGCCAAGCCGCACAGAGGTTCAGCGTTTTTTTGGGGCTACGGCTGTACCAGTTCAGGCTGTGCGGGGCTTCTGGTTGCCATCGGCAGGGGTGAGCAGTGCCATTGGCTTCTGCACCTGCATTGTAGGGGCCTCGAGTATAAACTTCAGGCTCGGTGCCATGCTCCGGAGCTTTGTCATGTGCATTGCCAATTTGCGGCCGAATAACGAGGAACCACCAAAGCCTGGAACACTGCACCACACCTCCCTCCGGCCAGGGACCCGGCGGACATCCGCGCGATTGCCTCCTCTGAGACCTTACCACTGGAAGGTTTAGGGCCGAGGCAGGTTCGGAGTGGGCTTTGCGTTTTCGGGCTGATACGAGGCAACATCCACCTCCACTTCACGTGGAACTGGGTCCCTTCGCCCACATAGCTCCCAAAAGAAGTTGCTCAAAGAGGCCCCAACTCGAGCCATCAGTGCGGCGCCGAGGTGGTGAAGCTTGGCAAGGGCCCAAACCTCGCAGTTGCAAACAGCCAGGGGTGGGGCTCGAAATCCGAGCCTCGAAACCAGGAAAGGAAAAAGAAATAAGCGAGCCGAGCCCCCAAAACCCCAACCCCAAACTTCCAAAATCCGAAGGTTCAGCAAGGGCCGGGCGCAAGCTGGGTCGTTGTCTCTGTCAGGGCTCTCAGGTTGAAGAGTCGAGCACAGGGTGCAAGGTGGCCATTTCTGGGGTTCAGGAAAACTTCACTAGTGAACCTTCAGCTTCAGCCCTGCACCTTGCATGGCGGCTCCGGCCATCGCCGCCAAAGCCGGGGCCTGACATGGGGCTGCCGAACTTGGGGAGTACTTTTTTGATTTTATTGGGGTCCTTCTTCTAAGGGCGGGGATCTATTTTCGTAAAGCCCCCACATGGCCCAACCGGGCTGAACAAGTCATGTCAGGCCGAGGGTTTCGGAACTTCGGGTCTCTACTGTTTGCCCAAGAACCCCAAAAGAATAAAAACAAATCGCGCTTTACCCGCTCCTACTTCTGAGGGTTTCTTTCGGAAGGAGACTTTTCCAGGTCGGAATTGCTTGATCAGTCCTCTGTCCGCTTGTTTGGGGGGAACTTCCTGTTCTTCTTTCTTCGGTTTTCTGAGGTCAGTCTCTGCATGAGCGAGGACGAGACAAGCAACTCGAGCCCCAAATCCTCGTAAGAAAACTTACGCCTTTGAAGCCTCAACCCTTCAGAATCGCCTTTGAGCATCGTGTCCCACCTCAAGCCCACCGATGCCCACACACCGTTGGACACCTCGGGAGCTAGTCGGGCCCTGGGCCTTCGGGTTTTGCATGCGTTTTGTGGCCGCCCGCTTCGCAGTGCCCTGCGAAGCCATCTGCCTGCCCCATCTTCACTTACAGTATGCACTGTGCAGCACCATGGCCCCTAGATCGTCACAACAAATCTACCTGAAGTCTCTTAGCGAGTTGGATGAGAGCCAGCTGATAGTAACTTGATTGTCGGTTACTACTGCCTCCATTTAGCTCCCTGCATCCGACAGCAGGTGACTGTTTCTGCTTTTGACTTCCGAGATCTCCGAAGTTGTGGCAAAAAAAAAGGTCAGGCAAAGTGACAACATGTGGCATGGCAAGAAGATCCTTGGCCGCGCGCCTTTGCCCCTCTGAGGCCCGCTCTTGCGCCCTAGTGTCGTATACGAACATGACAGGAAGCCAAAGGAAGCTGATGGAACGTGGGGCGAACATGTGGACAGAAAAGAGCGAGTGAACCGCGGTGCCGGCCTCGCCGGCTTGATTGCCGGGCTCTTGGACAAGGTAACTAGGCTCGGGAGAGCGCTCCGGGGATCTCAACCCTGTAAAGTCCACTTACGCTGAGACCCTGCTGATGCGAAGCAGCACACAAGCCCTGCTCTCCCGAGAGCGCTTCGTCTGTACAGAGTCTTTGGGCCACGACCCACACTGTAGTCCGAATGCTGCGCAGGGTCGGGGGCACGCCAAGCCCTCTGGCTGAAGGATATGGGGGTTTCCGAAAATAGGCCCCTAAATGAGACCCCAAATAGTAGGATTCCCTTTGTAATGAGGAACCAATAAGGTACCCATATTGAAGGATTCTGGACTACAATGAAGTCCGCCGTGAACGGTGCTTAAGCGGTCAGTTGATTTCACACATATGCACTGGCACGGCGCTGGGGGAAAAACCTCCATAAGACAGGAAGCAGATCAGAAAGCGGCAACCTGGCCTATAGCAGCTAGTTAGCAGCGACTGGCAGAACTGCAACATTGTTACAGCCCAGTGCCTCACAGGTGCATACGTCTTATGTGCACGGTCTAGGGTTTGGAGTATCCAGCGCCGCATCAAGCGAGAGGGCAGCTCGTCCCCTGCAACGGTCAAGACTAGGGATCCGTACTACTTGGAGGAAGGGTTCGGTGGTTTAGGGGGTTTCGCTGTGAGGATTTAGAGCGTGGGAGATCATCTTGTATGAGCATTGCTGGCATGCTGTCTTCTTGACAGATATCGGCGCATGAAGTCAACTGTAGCCGCGAAACCCTCAACTGAGAACTGCATGCAGCTCCCAACAGTAACAACGCCCTGAAACGGAAGTCGGCCCGTGAAAGGGCCGCTTTTTGCTGCCTTGTATGGTGGTGGATTGGGTGTGGTGGAGGCTTGCACTTCCAAGGTCTGGGGTATCAGGGAGACGGGCATCCACTACAGCCTCAAGCAAACAGCATATAGCCACGGGCACGGTCCTGCAAGCGAAAGCATTCGGACGCCTCCGTGCTCTGGAGCTCCTCCTGCGCTTGCTGTCGGACGTCCTCTGCTGGGCGCCTCTCGCAAGGCGGGAGTGTGAGTGGCTCCGGAGTTGGGGTCGTCGAATTGGTAGGATTTGTTCGGAATGACAGCGGCTGTGGAGCAAAATAGACTTTGACCAAACAGACACCCGAACCTGAAAGCCCTACAAGGTCTCCTTGAGGAGGCCATCCGCCCCACATAAAACACATCAAACCTCTCTGAGTTGTGGGCCTGTTTCTCGGGATCACAGGATCTGAAAAAAGTTGTCCCCGAAGGAGATCAAAATGGATAACTGGGCCGTCTTCCACACTGCCAAACCACTCAGGGCCAAGGACAGAGACACATCCTCCGGGCAGCCCTACGTACTATGTATATGTATAACTATAAATATAAATATACACATGCACATAGCTAAATACTTGTTTATGTCAATTGTACATAATATCACATCACATCACCTCACCTCACCTCACCTCACATCACACCATACATAAAATCCAATCTAGAATACATCATACAACCTAGGAAGCGTCCACACATCTGCTCCTCCCCAGTCCGGTGCATGATGAATTCTCAAACCCAACATCTGCTTCGACTTTGGGCCGTCTTTTTTAAAGCCTTCCCGTGAAATTGAATAATTTAAAGGAGCCATGTAATGAACGACAACCACCCTTTAGGCCCAAAGTTTAAACACACAGGTCTTGCCGCTTGGCCTCGTCGGATCTGCATCGCTCACAACCTCCTGAGCACGAAAACCCTCGGCACATGAACACTTGCATCAAATAATTTTCTAGCCTTGCTAGCTGAGCCTTCTGGATTTCAAGGTTTCGTGCGTCGTGGTAGATTATTTTAGAGTTCAGAAGCCACTCGCCTTACACGGCAATCTGAGAGTTCACAAGGGAAATTGGAGATAGTCCTGCTGCGGCTGCTGCGGTGGGGCAGCGGCCTGAGCTGAATGAACACGGCAGCCAGAAGCGTCCAGGCTGCTGCGGCACGACTCCTTGGAAACTTGCGACTATGCATCAGCTCGTAATCCAACGACAGCAATACTGGATGCTCCTCAAGGCTTGGTTGCACTCAATGAGTTGGTATACGCCGATAGAGTTCCGACCTACCCCCTACATGATATTCACTGAGATAAGCTGACGAGAATCTTTCATATCAGTGGTTCGAGTACTTGGGGGGAGGGGATGATACTGAGTCAGAGTCCCTGATTCTCTAGCCACTGAGCCGGTGTGCAGGCGCTTCTCGAGGATGCTCCGGACTGTGGCCATAAAGGCCAGGATCAATGGGAGCACTGAAGAGACCAGGAACCTGGCAGTTTGGGCTTAAGGAACTTCGTTTGACAGTTTATTACTAGGTTGCAACTCAACTCATGAGGGAGTCAATGAAATGCTGCCCCTGGCCGGGCCATTCAGACAGGGCTTGTTTAGCTCAGAAGGCTTTCTAGTCTAGACGCCGCCACAAGAGAAACTATGTGCCTGAAGTCCAAAAGCTGAGGGAAGGGAGGTCGCCGTAGCTGCGGAGCCCGAAGTCGCATGGACGGAGGCCTGCATGCCATGCACCTGGGACACTAAGGTGCCGATGCCAGGCAGGATTTCGGGAGAGGAAGAGCCTAAAGCAAAATCCGCATCACATGCCGCATCCAAAACGTCAAGCTTCTAGAGGGTGGCTTTGAGGTGTCAGAAGGCCGGAACAGGCTCAGGGTGCCGGGATGCAGAATTCTTGCTGGATCTTCTGAATACAAGCCGATGGCCTTCATGGCCTTAGGGCCCCGGCAATCCGCGATGGCTGGGCTCTCACAGCGTCTCCCGGTCCTTTGCCGCTGCCGACGTAAAGTTGCGAAAAATAAGGGAAGCAGTCCACAGGCGGCAAGGATTCAGTGCGCAGGAGTTCATACCCCCAGACGACACCCCCCCCCCCGCATATCCCTGAACAGAACGTCCGCAAATTTACACCGACACTAAAAAACCCTCAAAAGGATTGGGGCCTGGAACCTGCCCTGGTGCTGAAACCTGCCTGAAAGCCCCTGAAGAAGCCCTCAAGAATGTGCTCTAGCGAAGCCCGGGTCCCCAGCCCATCGCGGGCCCCACGACGCGGCCGGGCCCCACGACGCCCTTGTATGGTGGTGGATTGGGTGTGGTGGAGGCTTGCACTTCCAAGGTCTGGGGTATCAGGGAGATGGGCATCCACTACAGCCTCAAGCAAACAGCATATAGCCACGGGCACGGTCCTGCAAGCGAAAGCATTCGGACGCCTCCGTGCTCTGGAGCTCCTCCTGCGCTTGCTGTCGGACGTCCTCTGCCGGGCGCCTCTCGCAAGGCGGGAGTGTGAGTGGCTCCGGAGTTGGGGTCGTCGAATTGGTAGGATTTGTTCGGAATGACAGCGGCTGTGGAGCTTTATAGATTTTGACCAAACAGACACCCGAACCTGAAAGCCCTACAAGGTCTCCTTGAGGAGGCCATCCGCCCCACATAAAACACATCAAACCTCTCTGAGTTGTGGGCCTGTTTCTCGGGATCACAGGATCTGAAAAAAGTTGTCCCCGAAGGAGATCAAAATGGATAACTGGGCCGTCTTCCACACTGCCAAACCACTCAGGGCCAAGGACAGAGACACATCCTCCGGGCAGCCCTACGTATTATGTATATGTATAACTATAAATATAAATATACACATGCACATAGCTAAATACTTGTTTATGTCAATTGTACATAATATCACATCACATCACCTCACCTCACCTCACCTCACATCACACCATACATAAAATCCAATCTAGAATACATCATACAACCTAGGAAGCGTCCACACATCTGCTCCTCCCCAGTCCGGTGCATGATGAATTCTCAAACCCAACATCTGCTTCGACTTTGGGCCGTCTTTTTTAAAGCCTTCCCGTGAAATTGAATAATTTAAAGGAGCCATGTAATGAACGACAACCACCCTTTAGGCCCAAAGTTTAAACACAAAGGTCTTGCCGCTTGGCCTCGTCGGATCTGCATCGCTCACAACCTCCTGAGCACGAAAACCCTCGGCACATGAACACTTGCATCAAATAATTTTCTAGCCTTGCTAGCTGAGCCTTCTGGATTTCAAGGTTTCGTGCGTCGTGGTAGATTATTTTAGAGTTCAGAAGCCACTCGCCTTACACGGCAATCTGAGAGCTCACAAGGGAAATTGGAGATAGTCCTGCTGCGGCTGCTGCGGTGGGGCAGCGGCCTGAGCTGAATGAACACGGCAGCCAGAAGCGTCCAGGCTGCTGCGGCACGACTCCTTGGAAACTTGCGACTATGCATCAGCTCGTAATCCAACGACAGCAATACTGGATGCTCCTCAAGGCTTGGTTGCACTCAATGAGTTGGTATACGCCGATAGAGTTCCGACCTACCCCCTACATGATATTCACTGAGATAAGCTGACGAGAATCTTTCATATCAGTGGTTCGAGTACTTGGGGGGAGGGGATGATACTGAGTCAGAGTCCCTGATTCTCTAGCCACTGAGCCGGTGTGCAGGCGCTTCTCGAGGATGCTCCGGACTGTGGCCATAAAGGCCAGGATCAATGGGAGCACTGAAGAGACCAGGAACCTGGCAGTTTGGGCTTAAGGAACTTCGTTTGACAGTTTATTACTAGGTTGCAACTCAACTCATGAGGGAGTCAATGAAATGCTGCCCCTGGCCGGGCCATTCAGACAGGGCTTGTTTAGCTCAGAAGGCTTTCTAGTCTAGACGCCGCCACAAGAGAAACTATGTGCCTGAAGTCCAAAAGCTGAGGGAAGGGAGGTCGCCGTAGCTGCGGAGCCCGAAGTCGCATGGACGGAGGCCTGCATGCCATGCACCTGGGACACTAAGGTGCCGATGCCAGGCAGGATTTCGGGAGAGGAAGAGCCTAAAGCAAAATCCGCATCACATGCCGCATCCAAAACGTCAAGCTTCTAGAGGGTGGCTTTGAGGTGTCAGAAGGCCGGAACAGGCTCAGGGTGCCGGGATGCAGAATTCTTGCTGGATCTTCTGAATACAAGCCGATGGCCTTCATGGCCTTAGGGCCCCGGCAATCCGCGATGGCTGGGCTCTCACAGCGTCTCCCGGTCCTTTGCCGCTGCCGACGTAAAGTTGCGAAAAATAAGGGAAGCAGTCCACAGGCGGCAAGGATTCAGTGCGCAGGAGTTCATACCCCCAGACGACACCCCCCCCCCCGCATATCCCTGAACAGAACGTCCGCAAATTTACACCGACACTAAAAAACCCTCAAAAGGATTGGGGCCTGGAACCTGCCCTGGTGCTGAAACCTGCCTGAAAGCCCCTGAAGAAGCCCTCAAGAATGTGCTCTAGCGAAGCCCGGGTCCCCAGCCCATCGCGGGCCCCACGACGCGGCCGGGCCCCACGACGCCCTTGTATGGTGGTGGATTGGGTGTGGTGGAGGCTTGCACTTCCAAGGTCTGGGGTATCAGGGAGATGGGCATCCACTACAGCCTCAAGCAAACAGCATATAGCCACGGGCACGGTCCTGCAAGCGAAAGCATTCGGACGCCTCCGTGCTCTGGAGCTCCTCCTGCGCTTGCTGTCGGACGTCCTCTGCCGGGCGCCTCTCGCAAGGCGGGAGTGTGAGTGGCTCCGGAGTTGGGGTCGTCGAATTGGTAGGATTTGTTCGGAATGACAGCGGCTGTGGAGCTTTATGGATTTTGACCAAACAGACACCCGAACCTGAAAGCCCTACAAGGTCTCCTTGAGGAGGCCATCCGCCCCACATAAAACACATCAAACCTCTCTGAGTTGTGGGCCTGTTTCTCGGGATCACAGGATCTGAAAAAAGTTGTCCCCGAAGGAGATCAAAATGGATAACTGGGCCGTCTTCCACACTGCCAAACCACTCAGGGCCAAGGACAGAGACACATCCTCCGGGCAGCCCTACGTATTATGTATATGTATAACTATAAATACAAATATACACATGCACATAGCTAAATACTTGTTTATGTCAATTGTACATAATATCACATCACATCACCTCACCTCACCTCACATCACACCATACATAAAATCCAATCTAGAATACATCATACAACCTAGGAAGCGTCCACACATCTGCTCCTCCCCAGTCCGGTGCATGATGAATTCTCAAACCCAACATCTGCTTCGACTTTGGGCCGTCTTTTTTAAAGCCTTCCCGTGAAATTGAATAATTTAAAGGAGCCATGTAATTAACGACAACCACCCTTTAGGCCCAAAGTTTAAACACAAAGGTCTTGCCGCTTGGCCTCGTCGGGCCTCGTCGGATCTGCATCGCTCACAACCTCCTGAGCACGAAAACCCTCGGCACATGAACACTTGCATCAAATAATTTTCTAGCCTTGCTAGCTGAGCCTTCTGGATTTCAAGGTTTCGTGCGTCGTGGTAGATTATTTTAGAGTTCAGAAGCCACTCGCCTTACACGGCAATC